CTCCTCAACTTTTAACCAGCTTTGCTTATGATGAGTTATGGGATGAGTTTCTCCTTGTTTCAACCTCAAATTGGCTGTGTTCGACTGTTTGATCAAGCATCAATACAGGCTTATTTATAACCGAATTTGGAGCGACAGGAAGTGCTTAAATTAGTCATTTGCTATTCACTTTCAATTTGCGTAAAAGCATACGTGAGGTGAGTGAAGGTCACGCAATTACGCACATCTCTTCTGGTTACATAACAAAACACTTCAAAGGCCTCGCGTCTAAAACAAGGTTCCTATGAATTTTGCAAATGTTAAAAATACAATTTTTAAGCCTCTGGGCTACATCGCTCGACGATTTAACTGGCCCGAAACATAAATTGAACCTGCCGACTACGTAATTTGCGAGAAAAATTTTTTACAAAACCATTAATGTTTGAGCTCGTTGTGAGAATGCAGGTAAGGCTTGCTCGAGATTAAAATTGTCTCAGAGAGCTTGGAAAAAGCTCACGAACACGGATTCAAGGCTTGCAGTGTATATAAGTTGGAATGATAGGTTAAACTCATGTATCGCTCGCATGATCAGCTCACGCTGCGATGAATGGTTTCAAAGAGAATGATTTACTTTCTTTAGAATAAAGAAATATTCGTCCACTCGAATATTCAGCAGTTTATTCGACTGGTGTAAAAAAAATATTCTTAATTTTCAGACCGACAAAACGGAGATGGTGATCTCATTTGCTTTGTTTTGTCGTTTTATATCGTTGCGTGACCAATAAAGGAACTTCAAACTCTAGACACCGGAAACAGGAACAACTCTATTTTCAAATGTCTTCCGGGCTTTGAAATAATATAATATTACAGCTTGTAAATTGAAGCATGCTCAAAATTAAACAAACAACATTTTAAAGGAATTTAGAACTTAAGAAAGAATTTAGGACTTAAGAGCGCAGAATGTGTGTTTCATTCTCTTTTTTCGTGTCCAATGGTGAACCACTCTACGTTTGGTGCAACTCAGTCACGTCACGCCATTTATGCTTGACTGTTTTGATACTGTCGTCAAAAATGCTCGATCCCATTTAGCCCTATCCCACCCACGCAAATTCCTGGCTGAGAAAAAGACAGCAATTCGGACAGGTTCCATTACTTTTTCGATGATGTGGAGCTTAAAATAATTCAGCGCAAATTATGAACTTCTATTTCTACACGATCCACAGAATCAAATTGTTTCCGAGAACATTTCATATCTAGACATGCGTCATGGACGACTGCGTACGATAGCAGTAGGTTAAGTTCTGAAGAAAGTTATGAAGGCTCAATGGCTCTATTGGAACAGTTTATTACATTTCCACTCCCGGTCTGACTTTTTGCAGCTCACATGCGGGAAGTCACGGTCTCTGTCAACGTTTAGGGAAGTGGGTGACATACCGAACTTTTTGTTTTGACAGGGGCTCGTCATGACAACACACATTATCTTATTAACCTGATTGACGAAGTGTTTGTTGTGTATTGCGTAAAATCGGTCTTGGACAGGGGGCCGTAATGGTAACTACAAACATTATTGCAGATGGCAAAGTGATGTAAGGAAACAAGAATTATTAAAGTTGCCGGGTTATTAGAAATTCTGCATATAGTCTGGAGATTTGTGATTTATGTCGATTGCGTGTTCCTAAATCTAGGCTTGTATTCCAGCATTGCTTTTGAATCAGATCAAAATAGCCTTCTTAGCTCAAGCCTTAAGTTTTACGAACGAATTCACTAAAACAACGGGAATCTTCTCTGTGTACACATGAGTAAATTAAAAAACTTGGGAAAGCGTTTAATATGACGCTCATTGTGAAGTCTTAGTGAACACTTGCGGTCGGTTTTCTTTGACATTCCAAGGAAATAATCAACAATACCTGATTCATGCGTAATAGACAATCTGTTCAAATTCTAGAACACATGTTAGGCTAAAAAAATGCGTTACCTCATCAAGTGAAAGCACTCAGCAGGAAATGCATGACCTTCGATTGAACGAATTAACAACTAAACAAAACGCTACTTCCTGTTCCGCACGGCAACTGACGAGCAACTTCCAGGAGAAGTTAGCCAAAAAATTAATGAGGAATATCCTTGATGATATCTCCATGTAGACGGGAACATTTAATCAGTTGAGTAAGTTTACACTGCAGGACACATTCTCTGCGTAAGTTAACTCAACATCCCAAGATATGATGTGGTAATCATTGCGCAATGAATGTATGTTTATAACGTAGCCATTGCACTTTTTTCTGTGGGGGCGGTGGTACAGCTAGGAAATATTTAGAAATCTAAATGTATGCAAGCTAACTAGGCGCACCGATTGAGCCGGATAATGCAACATAGTCATAATAGGTAAGTCTTTAGACTTAGTTAAGCTGTATATAATCACAATGTTGAGGCAAATGGTTCTTGCCTTTTCGCTATGGAAACTTGACTTGCGGTGTTTATCAAAATAGTGCGATGAGCTGCTTGACCCGTTCTTTGCATAATAAACTCAGACAGCTTGGAATAGTTGGAAATGCATGAAATCTGACAGATTAAAGTGCTCTCGGAGATAGCTTGTTCATATTTAAGTCGGCCTTTTAGCTGCAGGGACTTGTGAGCAATCGTTAATGATACGAGAGCAAAGGCTCCTGCATCTCTTAGCTGATACGTATACTTCACAAACCAAATTGTATAATCTCGCCCGCTCTTTGAACGAAAAATTTAGACCTTATAGCGGACTCGTCTTTCTTTGTTTCATTACGAAGCTTTCGATATAGCTGATAGTGGCTGTCTACGGCAAGGTGTTCAATATGAATTTACTTAAGGCCAGGCCCACTATAAACTTCTCTCTCGGTAGCTACACCTTGTATCTGGAGTATCTGGGGTACGGAATCTGGCAGGTTAGTGTATCAAAAGACAACACGATAAAATTAAGAAAGTATTTGCAAGACTTAGACTAGAAATTATTATTTTACAGCCATCGTCTGTAAAATTAAAATTCTATGGCATCTCTTTGACTCAATCCGCTTGACCGAGTCTGTGTGAAGAAGCTAACAAGCAGGCTACCCTTTAGTGTAATACAAACTAGAATTCAATACGGTCGGTATTTACTTTTCGTTTTTAAATTCTGTCTCATAGTATGACTGCCGGTGCTCCTTCCGGCCGAAATACTGTTATTCCTGTTTTGTTGTTCTCATTATCTTTAAACGCATGGTATCTTTCCTTTCAAGGCAAATTTCTGAATCTAGATCAGTAATCAAGACTAAGCAACAGATTTTATCAATTTGCCGGTTTCATATACGAGTGTGAAACTGACAGGTGGTTTGTTATTGAACAAACTACGCTTCAACAAGGGAGCGAACAGCGATGAAGATCGGTAGATTATCGTAAGGTATGAGCTAAACCCTGAGTAACGCTGGGAATACTTAGAGAGGTCAAATGAAAATTTAGGGTCATATCTTCTCCTGGTTGTTTTTTACTTTGAAGCCGACGCTACCCTCTGGAATGAACAATTTCGTCAGAGATAAAATGGGAGAAACTTTGAAATTTTAGTCATGTTTGCCGTAGCTCGTGCAATCTGTCATGTTTCTGACCCTTTGACACTGTCTTAGTTAGTCTCTGAATAATCGTTTTTTTCTACTGGATCAACACGTCCGCTATAGTCAACGCCTTCACCTTTATAGGATAGGTCCGGAGGAGGAGGAGGAGGCGTTTACTATAGCGGACGTGTTTTTGGTTAGCCTAAAGGAAAAGTTTATTCACCACGAGACATTCATAAAAAGCAAGTTCAACTTTGATTTTTTTTTTCCTCAGAGGGCTCGGTAACGAATCTGCAATCTGATTGGTTCTTAGCGCGGTCCGTATTTTCCTATCTCTGCCCACGGGCACAGTAACGCTTTCTTGAGTCGCTGAGTACATCCCTACTTTCGTTGCCATTTTTCATAAATACATCTCGTTTTTCCGGCTGGGTAGTATTTTTAAGCAAAGAAGTCGGTCTCTACCTCAAGCCGAAATATAATTTATTAATGCTCTCTTTTCTCAAATCACTTTGGTTGACAGAAAAATATTGGTTTCGAAATTAATTTGCGTAAGCAAGTATCATTAAATTGATTGACAAGCGGCCTATAAACCGTCTGTAAATAACAATCATTCACCAAAAGTACCTAGAAAGTTAACATGAGAGGTATTTCGTTACAACTGAATTAACCGATGGAACTTTTATCCATTTCATATCTAAATTCTCTAAGACAATTTTTTTCGTAGTGAACGGGCGAGCGAGCGAAGTTTTCAGTTCTACTTCAAAGACGCTTTCGGTGAGTCTTTCCAAGTCCGTTCTATTTGGACGTTTGTACCGTAAATTGCACAACAGAAATTGAAGGAATTCAATGAGAAAAAGCCGCATTAAATCCCCTCGTGTTTAGTTGAACAAACTAAATTCGCATTCGAATTTAGTTCTGTGGAGGAAAGACCAGATTTACACACGCCATTGCAACTTCAAAATAAAAAATTTGATTATAAAATTACTTTCCTTGCTATTTACTTACTGAACAGAGGTAAATCTTCGTACATTAATAAATCGTCGATAAGAGTGAATGACACTTTCCGTAAGATCATTGACTATTCTAGAAAAAAACATTGTCGTGACCATCCGTTGTTTTTTCAAAGATGCACATGCGTTTTTTTTTCTTGCGCGCTTTCTGATTGACAGTTGTCAGATTGTGACAGATAATTGTAACAATAATGCTTCAAAGTTCGTTTGGAAGCCTTTTCATTCACATTTATCATTACGCAAATTAAAATGTTTTGGTGAGGCCACTCTCTTTAATTTGCATTGCTGCTATTTTAGCTACCATTTACAAGCTCAAAAATTTTTCATTTTATGGAAGATCTTGCTGTAATTACAGCCCTTTATCATTCGGGTTCTTTTGGAAAGAATTTCGTTAACTTTAAGAAAAATGTTATCCACTAGCCTGAGTCGGTCCGCATTCTTAATAATTGCCCTCGGCATTTGGCCTCGAGCAGTACCCAAGACCTCGAGCGCAGTTTTTCTCAATACGAACCGACCTAGGCTGGTGGATAACATTTTTATTTTTTTTCTTAAACTTAAAACTTCATGACATATATATTACTCACTCCCATATTGCTCATTCGTAAGAAACAAATTCGTGACCGCAGCCATGCTAAATGCATCTGGGGTTTCATTTTTGTTGCTAAGAATATTTTAGGAGAAACACGATTCTCTACAAATGTTCCTTTTTCATACTGACAAAATATCGCCATATCAGTTACAAACGCCAGAAAAAAATTTCGGTTTCCACTTGGTTGGAAAGTGATTAACGAGTCGAGATTTGATTCTGACAGCGAAATAGGTATTAAAAAGTTGCCGTGATTGAAAAATGAAACAGGTCATAACTTTTTGTTTAGAAGTTTAAATTTCCTATCAAGGTTGTGATTTCTGCTGATGATTTTAGCGCAAATCCAGAGCCGGAATATAGAGGTTAGAATTGAGAGAACATCACGTAGGCACCTGACTTTCTATTGCTAAAAATTTGATTAATTCTAAATTTAGAGATGGTAGTGACAGGAACCTTTCACCACGAGTATGAAAAGTTAGTGCAGTTTTGAATATTAGACCTAAGGTGTCTCACCACCATGATTTAGCAAATTCATGATTCCTAATGTGTTTAATTCTGAGTGAGTCGCGTTCGGAAAATTAATCAAGCGTCACAATATCTCCAACAACCTTAAGAGCCAAACCCACCTGTATAAACGCAAGATTTAAGCCCTTCTATTGTTACAGCGGTATATTTACACGGCTTTCTTATCCTATCAGCTGATGCTGCATTGAGCGGAGCTTCAAAAAATCCCTCTGAAGAATAAGACGCAGTTTTAGTTTAATCGTGTCTGACATGGATTCCGAGAGCGGTGAACCACGCTACAAGAACATAGTTCACTTGTGGGAGTTTCTCTACGAATTGCTTGCCAGCGGGGACAAGTGCAGCTCAATCATAGCTTGGATCAGAGAGGAACACGGGGAGTTTAAGTTGAAGAACAAAGAAGAAGTCGCAAAGAGGTGGGGCGCGTACAAGAAAATAAAAGGAATGAACTACGAGAAACTCAGTCGAGCTCTTCGACATTACTATCCAAAAGGAATTATTAAAAAGGTAAGCGTTTTACACGAGACTGACCTTAATTTCTGTTTCATTGTTGCCCATCCATTTTTGTAAGGCGTGTATGGCAGTGATCGTAATTGAGTTATCTTGAATGTATTCATCGAATAAAAAAGAAATTTAGTCTAAGGCTAAGAGAGCAAACATATGAAATTCCTTAGGTGAAACCTCTTAACTTCGTAATAGGTGGTGAACCATTCTCCTGTTCACAACTCGGAAATAACGATCTCATTGAGAGCATGTGAAAAAAGTCCTCAGTAATTGTTTCCCCCCAAGTCTTTTCGTCCACTTTGTTTTAAGTTACCTTCCTATTGATAACGGACGCAATTACACAATTTCAAAACAAATTTATCAGAGTGAGGACATGAGGCTTATCGAAAACATCAATGTTTTCGGCAATGAATGCTTTTTTTTTTCTCCGTCTAATTAGCATAATACAAGCATATACAATCAAGGAACTTTATTAGAAGGACTAAAGAATCGAAAGTGAAAGAAGAGATCACGCTCAAGTAAACAGTTACATCAGAATTGCAGATGCAAGCCAATGAATTTCGGTAGTTCCTTCTGAGCGAATGGATGATAAATTTCGCATTTCGATTGGCCGCGGTAACTCAGAGTTGAAAGCCACTATCATGCATCTTTGAGTGTAGGAATATGATTTTTCGACTAACTTCGATCAAAATAAAGCAAAACAAAATTCAAAACAGGAAAAAAAAGTAAGACTTTAATGTGCTCTTAACTGCTCCAGGTTAGAAAAAACTGCTTAAATAGGTGATGTTTATCTCACAAACGTCCTCCGAAAGAACATCGATCAATGTAATATGAAATCAATAAAACGTCTCGTTTACTTTCGAAAGTACGGGTGGGTGTGCGTAAGGTCAAGAGGGTTGAGTGTAAAGGAACAGCTTCCCGTCACATCTCCTGGACAGCAGCCATATTCCCATTCGTTATCTCGCTGGGCGATTTATGAAAAGATCTTCATAGAATTTCTCTTATCTTTAACCTCATGGCGACAAACAGCCCAGACGACCGGAAAAACTATGGCATGTAGTATCCAAGGTGAAATAACAGTGTGATAAACCGCAGCCAGGACTCAGTCTTTTAGAAGCTCGACAGTTTTTTCAGGTTGCAGTTTTTTTTGGATGTGAGATAAGCATTTATCAATTCTGCTGTTGTTTCGTCGGAAACTCTCGTGGCCATTCAAGCAACCATACGTTAAGTCTGTAATGTACAGGTTTTAAACATTCTTATTTTTTTTATTTTGTAGGTTGCAGGCCAGAGATTGGTGTACAAGTTTAACAAACTGCCATATAAGTATGAACCCGGTGTAACGAGATCTCTTTACCACGGGAGTAGAATCAAGGCTTGCATCCAAGAACCAACGAAATCTAAAGAAGCCGACCCCACCCCTCCCAAGACGAACACTAACACTTCACTGTCAGCTTTTACTCCAGTCCGCGGACATCCCAAAAAGAGCTGGTCTTGGCCGCTTCTTTCCACGCCAACGAACCCTTTCGTGTTGTACCCAGGTTCCACACCTAACACGCCTGCAATATTTGACAGCTCTAAGACCATGATCGTATTCCCGTTTGGTCCCAGTCCACCCGTGCACCATCCATTACAGTTGCATTTGAAACGGGAACACGATAAACCTGTTGGTAAAATGATAACCTCTGAAGTTACTTCGATTCCGGTTTCGGTCATTCAGCGTGTCTAACGCACGCTAATACCGAGATTTTGGACACACTTCACAGCTTTTTTTCCCCTAAAAAAACAAAACAGAACTTAGACAAGATATTAGATTAGAGTATCTTGCCCTAAAGTTGCTTTACCTTATAACAGTTTATTCAATTACTTATCCTGCTTATATATTCGTTTAGGCTCCTCCACTTTGACGTAGTCCGAACAATAGAAAAATTGCCGCTAAGTTTTCCAGCTCGATGGGATAACATCAAGCTGAAAAGAGAAAGTCATCATCTCAGATTATGCTTCCAATGCTTTAAGGCTGACCAATATTTTATTCCAAAAGCGCTACGGTTAAAAAGGTAAATTTTCCCGTAAAAAAAGTATGTTTTTAGAAAAGATGTAGAAAATATTTTAGATTTTGCGATAAAAAGTCTGAAGATGTATTTTTTTTTGTAAAACTTATTTTAATTTTGCAAGTTAAAATATATTTTTTTTAAACAATGATGTAAGATGGAAATAAATTGATATGGTTTTTGACGTATAGCTGCAAGTTTTCCCCTTGAAAGGACGTTCCAGCGGCGAATAGATCTCTGATCTGAGTAACTCCTTTGCGGCCTAGAAGAAACCCCTGGCGTTACTGTCCAAAAATGATGCACGCACAGAAACTATTTGCTTTTTGCGTCCGCAGACAGAACTTCTTCTTGGGGTCAATTGTGGTTAAGTGCAAATCATTTATTTCACGATTCCTGGTGACCGGAACAACTTCTTCTGCGGTTGAGGTTTTAAAACGCGGGACCTTCTTTAACGGGTTCAACTTCTTCGCTGTGCTTTTCGCTAAGAGCTCGGAAACAGAATTAGAGTTGATGACAAAAGGCAAAAGTCTTTAACCTCTCACTGTTTTTAGCATTCTGATTTAAATTTGCTTTTAGGAAAAATCTATTATATATATACTTTAAAATCCATGAGCCGTTGCTAAATAGCCTTTTATACCAAATTTACAATTATAATTAGCTTACACTGACACTCTTAGAAGAGCAACTTCCGCTTTTCGACATCCGCTTTCTCCTTTCGTTTTTTGTTTCTATCTCTTTCAAAAATTTTCCAAATATATACTTTTTTATCCCAGTGTCTTTTTTTACCAAATAAAGTGTCTGTGTTAAACACGTCACCTTTTCTGTTTCTTGTGTTATATTTCACTCTCACAGCTCAAATATTCAGGCCTCGGTTGATAGAAGCAAAACTCAATCTCTCGTACCTAAAAACACAAAATTGTTGGTAACCAGCTTCTCTGGGCGTTATCCACCGTTCATAGATAAATAAAAAAGACAGTGGAAAGTTCAGTGTTCTTTATTACTTTAAACTTCCGCTAACCGGAGGTGAAGATCACGACCTCCCTTTAGTATATTTGATATGGTGAGATTTAACTCAAACTAAATACGACTAAATTTCCTTGAAGCACCCCAGAAATTGAGAGCTTTGTGTTAAACAATGCAACTGAGAAAATAACTATTGACCTTGTTTTGAGAGCTTCTTCTTTTCTCCTTTTTTTTATCTCTCTTGGTTTTGGTTTGTTTTGTTTTGTTTTTTTTTGTAATACTTAATCACAACCAATTGCGTGACGGAACAGAACTTTCTGGCTTGTCACGCCTATTGTGATTTCAACCGGAAGATGCCGAGAGGAAGTAAATATAATTTTATA